TTTGTTCTTTAGTTTCTTGGGTTGCAATACTGTATAAAGCCATTATCAATATCACCCGAGCATTTGTTCCTTTTATCTTCAACTCAATATCTGTGAGGTGTGGAGACTTCAACACAAGAGTCTTACTGACCTTCAGTGTGACTCCTAATTACTTCCTGAGCCATTTCTTTGAATCAAGGTACACAGTTGTGCAGTTGGCTTGACTCTGTCCTCCTTTCAAAGGCACCCTGCTAATAAGGCTGACCTTTTTTGTCAGGTGGCTGAAAACTTCAGATTTTAGGTATGTTTCCTCCAACTCTAGAAACTGGAAAAAGTGGCTCAGTAAGCCTGAACTGTACAAAAGAACATGTGATTTCTTTGAGTTCTGGAATTTGCCAAGTGTCTGGCAAAAGGTACTTACATGACCCCCTCCCAAATAAAAGCCACACCATGAAGTTTTCCCCGGTTGGTAACATCTCTCACCTGTCAGCACAACTGCTTACTGGAGAATTAAGTGCATCATGTGTGACTCCTTTGGGACAGAACTGCTGGATCTGGAGCCAGGTATCTCCCATACCTCTCCCCACATATCTTCCTTTTGGTCTTGTTCTCTCTTTTGCTACAATAAATCTCAACTACGAATATGACTGTATGAGAGTCCTATGAACCCATCTAGTGAATCAACTTCCAACACAAAGTCCTGTCGTTTCACTCTTTGTTTGTGATACTGGATACTGAATCCTGGACTCGTACATGCTAGACACTCTCCCAATGAGCTACACCTCCAGCTCATTTTTAAAAACTTTGAGACAGGCTGGCCTCAAATTTGCTATCTTTCTGCCTGTCTTTAGAGTAGCTGGGATTGTGCTACAACATCCAACTTCCGCTCTTTTGTGTGTATGTGCAGCACTGGGGATTGAATCCAGGTTACTCTAACACTGAGTTTCATCTCCAGCTCCTTTTAGTTTTTGAGACAGATTGTGTTAAGTTGGCCAGGAAGGACTTGAGATTGTGATCCTCTCACTTAAAAGGATGTTATGTTCCAAACTACTGGTCCAGTTTATAGTTTATAGTCTATAGTTTCAGTCCAGTTATAGTCCCAAACTAAAGATATGCTATAACTTTTATTTCTCCCCTACTAACCATGTTTTCAAACTACATTCTCTGGGAATATGATCCTCAACAGTTCATGTCAAAAACTTGTAGTTAACTAAGGTTGGGAAATTAGTAAGTAAAGTGAAACAAATTTCTCAGAGTTTCTCATAACTTTTGATGTATCATTTGAACTGTAAAAGAACATTGAGGGATTATGGATAGTACCACAGATGGTTCTGCATAAGTTACGTAATAGCAAAAAAGTCTCACCCAGGAATGTCTTAAGGTGGACTAATATTGTACGGCATCATTCTAAGAAATATTATGTCAGTCCTTGGTGAAGTAGCAGTTATCACATCTGATGTCTGAAAAGTCTGTGTATATAGTTCCAAGACGGCCACTAATATAGCCTACAAGGCATAGACACATTACTGAACACTGAGTTACCTGCCTTTTAGAAGAGAAAGTGGGGTGAAGATGTAGCTCAGCAGTAGAGCAATTGCTTAGTATGTGTAAGGCTGTGAGTTCAATCCCCAGTACTGAGAGAAAAGAGAGAAGGATAGAAACTATCTACAATATTAACCAAAATATCAATTTAAAATGATAGGGAAATATGAAGTTTAATCTTAAACATTACAGTATTAAGTTATTTGTCCCATACCAGAAAAGGAAAAATTAATTCTGTTAGTGTAAGTCATCAAAAGCTCATCTATAATCCTAGAACTTGAATTGCTTGATTTCTAAAATGAGAAAAAAATAAACATAAGGTGCTAAAAGACTGTTGAGCAAGCATTTTCAAAGTCACAGAAATATATTACTAAATAAACTCAACAAAAATGTTTGTTAATACTTTATTAGTATCCTCTAATGGACAGAACATAACGCAAACCAAATAAAAATTTTAATCTTCTTTTTAGTTAATAAAAATAACTGGCATTCTGATTGTTTCTTCTTTGTTAAAGAAGGAAGTATTGGTAGAACAGTTAGGCACACAGTTGACACTTACTGTACAATGATATGCACAAGGTATCTTTTAACAATTTTAATCCTAAAATGTGCTCTTTATAGTTTTCCCTTATCATACAGGAGCCATGCTCCTATAAGCAAAATTTACTACTAATAAAAGAATTTTACAAGGAGAGACAAAAAGACTTTTAAAACAAGTCTTTAAATAAGAGGATGCAGCAACAACGGAATGTAAGTTGTTGGGTTAAGAAGACAGTTTAAATTACATCTTAAAACATTAAAAATTCATTTATTTTACAATTACTCAAATACACATGCATTAAACGAAAATATTGCACAAAATTAAAATTTCAGATTGTGAAATTTATATTGTTCTTAATTTTTAAAAAATTGGTACACTTTCTGGTAGTACTTAACTGATTTTTTCCAATCACCAGCAGCAGAAACTTAAAATGAACAAACTGAAACAGTCAAGAAAGTTCTTAATGTTTGTTTTTTTTAAAAAAAATTAAGGCTAACCAAGTGCATCCATTGGTCAATGGCACAATTGTTTTCAGCAACTATTTGGAACACCCCAATTACAGGAAATGCTCATCTAAGTGCTATATTTAAATCATACAATCAATTTTTTAGGTGAATAAACTATGATGATTTCTAAGTAGTTTACATGTTACCTGAAAAATCAGAAAACTCAAAGAATGATTAATTTTGAAGGTTTTTGCCTAAAGGCACCACTGACTTAAAAACACATTCAAAAATCAAATATCAAAAGACATAAATCCTCTTCAGGTATATATCTATATATGCAATAAATGCATTAAATGTAATCATTTTATTAAACATAGTACACTGTACTTGACTTATGGGTTAAATATTTTACACACAGCTTGACCAAGTCATTCAAAAAGTATCTCTAATTTTAGCATGACCACAGTTCTCTCTGATGTAAAATATAGATGTGCATAAAGACACACCACTGTTTACATAGACTACCAACTTCACATTTCTGCTTTTGAAATATAAATTCTTTTAAACCAAAATTACCTTAAAAACCCATTTACTCAATTTGTTTTCTTTTGTTTGTTTTGGTTATGATTGCAGTTATCTTGCCGGGCTCTGTTAGGAAAATTTGCAATCTTACATGACCTTTCTATCCCTGGTTGACAGCCAGTATTCTTCACATTATATAGAAATGCTTTTACACACATACATACTAAGCTCTTACAAGAAGTCTTCTGTATACACTTTGCTTTATTCTTGTCAAAAAATATACCTGAAACAGACAGGGGTATATATGAAAGTCATTGCACTTAGGCCATGCTGATGCTTCCCACAGACATGTTTCACATATCTTACTTTTAAAGTCGCAGGGCTGAGGCAAGGAGAAACAGTGAGAAGAAATGCTTCTTCCACCAGAACTACTAAGGATCTTTTCTCGCTTGCCAGTTTGCAGTGAAAGAGATTTCATTTATGTAATTCTGAAGACATGCAATACATGCTGAATGTACGCATACTACAAGTATGCACAACAGCATTAGTAATAAATACGATTATTATATAGCTTTAAAGGAAGGCTTTATTCTGTTAATAGGCTTTACTTTGTAAGTAGGATCTAAGTGAAAACAAGACAATAATATCTTGTTCCAACCTTAAAGCTCCCAAATAACTGGGATACCAATACTCTGTCCCTTTATCTTAAGCACCCAGACATTCTTTTAATACCAGGATCTTGGCTCAGTGGTCTGATAAGTAGCTTCACTATTTTAAGGTTTTAGTGTTAAATGTTTTTAAAACAAAAGAAGCTGATACATCCACGCCCTCAGTGAATGGAAGTATTTAAAACTATGCAGAAATCCTGCATACAAGGGATGTGAAGACTTCCAAGATGGACAAAATGGACAGTGACAAAACTAGGAAATGCAGAGGCTTCAAAACCAGAAAAGGTATTTTGTTTTGTTGGTATAAAATTATTTTTGGGATTTGAATGTATACAGTGGGGGTGTGTGTTACCTGCTAGCTTTAAAATTTTACATTATGTGAAATATAAATAAAAGCATAGTTTAAAAAATAGTACAGTTCTGTATTATTTATTTTCATATATGTACACATTATAATTAGGAACTTGTATGCTTATGTATGACTAATAAGCTCATTTATCCTCTGCTTTGCTATTTTTACAGTTAACTAAGGCATGTCTAGATCACACAATTTAAAATTATCATATGGTAACTTTCAATAGAGTACTATTTTCTTTTAATCTCCACATTTTCAGAAAGACAGAACGTATTTGGCAGTTCTTCCAACAAATTATTCCCCTTCTGTATAATCAGTAATCTGTTAAAGCTAAAACTATTAATTTTGAAACTTAAATGAAAGCTACCACATGCTTCTTTTCTGCACACAGAATGCCAAAAGAAAACTTAGCTTAGCAAGAGCAAACAGAGCCCTTAAAGCACTTAAGAATCAATTAAAGTTCATTTTATACCAATGAATATTAAATCTAACCAAATTGTTTTTTGATTTGTTTCATTTTATACTCAAGTTTTATTTTATGTCACAAAACTATAATTCAGGAATAAATTATGTCATACTTTAAGGGCATTCTATCACTTTTCCCAGACCTGGATAATCCACACTATTAGCAAAATGCTGACAACAATTTACAAAATTATTATGCATAACAAATTTTTCCAAATTATACATTGCGCAGTCTTCAACTGTCAAACAAATTAAGGAATTTATCTATGAACCGTTGTTTTGTGCTTTCCTTGGCTCTCATATGTACACTCTGGCACTTTGTCACTGCTGGAGAATGCTGATTAGCTTGAAGTGGAAGAGACCATCACTCTTGCATTGAGATGGGGGCAGTATCCTCTCCATGTTGCAAATTATGCACCAAATCATTTAAGATACAGAATCTCTCTTGGTAGTGGCTGGATTATAGATGAGAATGAGAAGAACCAGTCCTATGGATGTACTGATAACCTATTTTGAGACACTAAAGACTGGTGCAGACACAACAGCACATGAGTTAAGCCCCAGAAGATCTGTCCATACCATCATCAGTCCTGGACAAAATGAACACCAGCTTCACAGACTGGCGTGTCACCTTTTCTGTAAAGAAGGTGCTTGAGTAGTCTGAAGTTTCTGTTTATATTTCTGCATCTGCTTTGACCGTGAATGCAGTTTGTTGAAAAGTTCACGGAATTTATACTGTGGAAATAACGTTTCTAAAAAGCCTTCCAAGAAGACATAAACCATTCTCCTATTTAACTGGTTGTGCTGAAACATTTCAAAAACACGAAGAATACCTTTCCGTGTTGTTTCAGCTCCAATAATGTGCTTCAGTTCATCTAAAAGAAGAGGGAGAAAACACAAATAATTTATTACTCAAGTAAAAGAAACACAAGGCTTAAAGATGACCTTGAATAAAATATGTACAATACACAGCAGAGTAACCAATACATAGGTATTTATTATATATTATATTGAGGACTTAAAAATATGTATGTGAACATGCATGCAGCTACCATCCACTTATATAACAGTATTAAGAGACAGTATGACACAAGAGTTAGGATCCAGACTTAAGAAATCTCAAATTACAGTCACAATTCCATCCCTACTGTCCATGCAATATCCACTTTGATTTTGTTTCCCCAACTATTAAACAGGAATGCCTAGTAACTAATATCCTTGTAGCTGTAAGCTTTTATAAGACTTCAGTAAGACAATGTAGTATGTGTTTTGTAAACTCTAAAACTCTATACATTCTATGTTTAATGAATAATACTATAAAACTAGCACATGATTTTGAATAAAAACAACACAAAAAGAAAAAAAATGAATCCATGACATAAAAAATCAGTTCCATAAAAATAATACAAAATAAAGATGTTACTTATGTTTACAGTGCAATAACAAGAAAAGATTCCCTTCATAGAAACTACAACTATCATAGACTCTGCTATGTGGGCAGGATTTTCAAAAGTAGAAGGAAATGAAAGATTAGCCTTGGTAGGGTTGGTGGGGAGAGTATCAATGAACAAATGAGCAGTAAATTAAAGACAAAAAAAACAGGGTCAAGAAATGAGGGTAGAAATTGGTTGAAATTCAGAAATACTGTAAGAGAAAGTACAGAGAATAGAAAAGTAAGGATACTATGACCATCACGTCAGGCAAGTCTGGAGTTTACCCAGAGACTACATGAAGTTACTACCGATACTGAAGTATGGGATCAACATGTAGGACTATTTGAGTTATTCATAAATAATACCAGCAGCCTAAATATTATTTTGCTACTTTAAGAAGAAACATGCAACTTCCAAAAATTCTGTATCTAACTAAGACTACAGTAAAATTTAAAATGAGTATGCTGTGAATTTAAAAAGTAGGCAGTGAAGAATATGTATCTCTGGCCAGGGATTTAGCTCAGTGGTCCCGCCGTTTGTCTTGCGAGTGGCAAGGTTCCGAGTTCAATCCCAGGTAACAACAACACAAAAAAGAGTATGTATCTCCTATACTTTTAGACCTATCTTCACCTCCTTCAGATCTTCATACCAATGTCATCTCAGTGAAGTCTTCCTTGGCCACTCCATCAACAATTCACCTGACATTGCCAATTATCCTTCCTGCCTTTTTTTTCTTTAGTACTTCCCACTATCTAACATATTACACTTTATTTATTCATATATGTCCTCCTAAGAGAAGGTAAGGTTAAAGAAAGCAAGATATATGCAAAGAACAATGTCTGGCACACAATGCACTTCCAATAAATATTTACTGAATAAGTGCATTAAGATTATTTCAGCTACATAATAGTGATCTATTCTGGTTTACTAAACAGTATATTCAATAATATCCTAAGTCACTGTTTCTTATTTTTCTAAAATGTTATTTCTTTGCTTTATACCACCAAATGCAACAGTATACAAGGAAGAATTAACAGTCACGTGGCAAATATCTAATGTGATTGATGGAAAACTAGTCACTAAAATTTTATGATGAAAATAGTTTTATATTACAAGAAAACAATTTTAAGGAGTATTATATGCTATTAAAGAACTTATACATGTCTATTTTCTATGTATATGATTAAAATAAAGAGAAATGGTATCTAGGCATTTTAAAAGATATTCATAAAAAGAGACAAAACTATCTCCCCTACCTCCTGACAGCTTTCATATTATATAGCCTTTCTGACTGACAGAAGATAAAGCATATCTAAGAAAGTGAGTCAGGCCTACATGAAACAAGTAACTCAAACCAACAAATAATGCATTGTACACTTTCTTTGGGAAGATATTTTAATAAAGATTAATAATAAGCCAGTCAGTTGTTTCTATATAAATAGACTCTGAAAGAATGCCTGTTCTTCTAAGCAGAACATTCTTCCTAATAAATCTGGTACTTCAATTTCTTTTATTAGCCCAATCATCTGTTACATATTTTCTTTATTTTTTAACTTATCCCAAAATGTTTCAAGATAGCAGAGTGGTTCAAAGTACAAGCTTTCAAGCTGGCTCTAGTCCCAGCATCCTGGGAGGCAGGGGCAGATCACAAATTTGAGGCCACCCTGGGCAACGAAGCAAGAAAATGGGAGAGGGGAGGGGGATGTAGTTCAGTGCAAAGCCCTGGGTTCAATCCCCAGAGCGTGGGTGCAGGCAGGAGTGCGCAAGATCTCAAATCACTTAAAGATAAGTCAATCATGTCTTCTACTAGCTGTAAATCCTGAGTAGGTCACTTATCCTCTCTGAGATTAGGTTTCCTCACATATGAAGTTATTGTGTTAATAGTGCTTTGGGCTGGGGATTTAGCTCAGTGGTACCATCACTGGCCTAAGGTCCTGAGTTCCATCCCCAGTACAAAAAAATAGTGCCTCATGGCTTCATAGGACTCAGGAACGTTAATTAAAAGAAATGCCTAACAGTGCCTTTTATACAGTAAGCCATCAAATGGTAGTATTTATAATAAAAACCAGATAAATTAGCATGATCAGTATAATAAATTTAAAACTACAAATTAATGAATATTAAATGAAACACACACACTTACCTGGCATTATTGCAAATAATTTTGTTTTTCCTGCGATTCTTGTTCTCATTCGGATAGCTTTGTCTCTGCACGGAACAGTCTCTGCTGAAATGCCATTTGGCCAAAATGCATCTCTATTTAAGAAGATTAAATAAATTTTGTAAATATTTTCACTTTTTAATACTACAAGTTGATAAAATTACTTCAAATTTCTGAATAATACACAAATGTGAACAGAAAATGCTTTAAAATTTTTAAGTCTAATGACAGTCAACAAAGATAATAAACTCAGTGCAGGATTCAGTTTCAGGTGTTAAAAGAATATAAAGAAAAATAACTTTATGAACTCACTAATGAAGACAGCAAAATGGAACAAATACAAAAATTACGGTCATTTAAACTCAAAAATGAGGACTGCTGAATGAACATCCTATCCAAACATAACCCAGGGCAACCTGAATTCGGACTCTTCATAGAGTTTAAAAATTACCCTGCTGCAGTTGTGCCACTGCACTCCCCTCATAGCTAAGCCAAGTTAAAACTGAGTTCTATGCTCACAACCTATGCCTTGACTGAGTCCATTGGTACAGTACCTCTGTTCACAAATGCTTCTGTTTGCAAACAATTTGGTTCACAAATAGAAGCATTTTGAAAAATTTTGTTTGTGAACTTTGCACTGGGTGATGAACATAACCATATCCATTTTTCCCACAAATGTGGCCATCTTTTGCAGAGCCTAGGAACCGAGTTTCTGAGTTTGTGAGCTGACGTATCATTGTACAATGGTGCTTTCACACATACAACAACCTCTTCTTGACTTCCACGGTGTACTTCCCTTGTTCTTGTTCCCTACTATTTTTGGTCCATGGCAGAAACTGAGCAGTATCTATATATCCATCTACAATTACTCTGAGGGACAGACTTCCCAGAGTGACTTCTTTAATTTGCATTAGAAACACCAGGGAGGCTTTAAGAAATCTTTTTTTTTTTTGGTACCAGGGATTGAACTCGGGTCCTTGCTCTTGCAAGGCAGGCCACCGAACCGCTGAGCTAAATCCCCAGCCCCTAAGAAATCTTAATGCCATGGCCTTCCACCTGATTAAATGACAGCCATCTCTGGGAATGGATACCAGGATCAATCAGTGCTTCTGTACTGACAAGCCTGAGTCTTACTGTTAAAAAGGAATATTAGTCATCTACTCTGAAAGAAAATGAACATGCTAAGGCAGGTAGTCCAACTTTTGGAAACCTATATAGAGAGGAGAAACTGAGCTTCAGAGCAGAAAAGTCACATTTCTCACTCTCCATCACAAGAGCCTTTGGACAAATTACTCTTTTTCTGTAATCCTTAGTTTCTTCTTCATAACAAAACAGAGACAAATATGTATATCTTGTAAAACAGGTTTCTTTCCCTACTATCTGTGCTTTCTTCAAGGGACTGCATCTTATCTCCTACTTCTCAGTAACCGGCAGAGTAACAGACAGGGAAGGGGCTCAATAACTATTTGTGGTATGAACATAAGAATCAGTACGTCAGTGCTGCTTTCTTCGTACTATTTTCAATGGTTCAAATATTTAATTAAAAATTTAGACAATGAGCCAAGCATGGCGTCTCATGCCTGCAATCCAAGTTATGTGGGTGACTGAGGCAGAAGGGACATGAGTTTGAGGCTCACCTGGGCAATTTAGTGAGCGTAGGGTAATAGTGCAGAGAGAAGAAATGGAAAGAGAGAAAAGGGCTTAAGATGTAGATCAGTAGTAGTTTACCTCAGTAAAATGGCCACCCCCCCGCCGGTTAAAAAAAAAAATTAGACCATGGACAAAGACATACATGGTTTTCTCAAGCTTTACACTTAAAAATCAAGGTTACAACTGTAAAACCCAAATCCCCCATAGTAGGTATTTCTATACATGATCATGCTATCTCTGTACTAATATTTCAACTATTTTAAAGCCATAATACTGTGGTAAAGGTAGCCTATTAAATATTTTCTTTTATACACTTTCTAGTTTTTTTTTAAAAACAAAGATCAATAGACAGATGGGGTTAAGTGTTTATTATAATTCTTACAAGTGTTTTTGCTCACCAATATGACAACTTTATAACCAGGAAAAAACCCAAAGCAAGGAAAGTTAGTAAGTAAGATAACAATGCCAAACTCTGTACAACCCAAAAGAAGTAACTATCCCTTAAACTATACCTGAAACGTTTCACTGAGTCAGCTACTTGTTCAGGTGAGGTCATCCAATCAACATGGTCAACTATTTTTCTGAAAGTAAAGAAATTTAATCAACTAAGCTTAAAATTTCAGTGGATGAATAAAAAAAAGTGACTTTCATAGATCAGACAATGTAATTTGGAAATAACTTATCTCTGAAGGCAGCAGCCTGTTTCAATGATCTTCTTAAGAGACTCAGAGAAGAAATTTTCCAATGAAAGTTAAGCAATCGATTTCCAGAAGTAAAAGTTTAAAAGTCAAGCTCAGACTCTAAGTAGGAGAGAAAAAGAGTGGTACCTATTAATAGTATCACCATATGTAGCTCTAATAAGTTGCTGAAGTAGGTTTTTGATATTCCTTCGCAACCACTGATTTCTCTCCTTCAAGTCGAATACTTCATCCATGAGAAGCAGCATAACCCTAAGCGGAATATTGTCATCCACCTGACAAAATATGGGAAAAAAAAAAAAGAATAAATTTATTGGTTAGCTCTCTACTATAAATGTCTATTTATTCTGTTTTAACAACAAAACTTGTTATGACTTGTTGTTACTTCAACAAGTCATAATTTGACATTTCATTCTGGTTTAGAAAAAAACTTTTTTAATAGTCACTTTGACAGAATACAGAATTTTATAATCCTACAATGATGAATAAATTCCAAAGTTAGTGTTTTTCTTAGAAATAAAACATTTCTCAAAGTGGATTTATGATGGTCTTAGGAAAAGATGATTTACCTCTCTTAACTTTAGCAGATTGAGTCGTGTTGGGCCCTTATTTTCTGAAGCAGTTTTTGGTAAGAAAGAAATATTCTCAGTATCTCTGTATTTAATTGAACAAAACAATACAGGATGGTTTGGCTTGGTTAATAAGCTATATATTCTGGTATTTTCAGGGGAAAAAAGCTGTTAATTCAATCTAACACACAATTAAATTAACATTACATAAAGCATATTTCACTAGTTTACTAGAATTTTCTTTTAGCTTTTAATAACTAAAATTTAGTATACTTTTATTATGGGATTATTCAATCAATGAGGTAAAAAGTAATGAAAATACCCAGAATACTTTGATGTAAAAAAATTATGTATAAAGTGGAAAGCTGGTACAGATTTACGACTAGATACAATTGAAAGTTTATAATTATTCCACTGCTAAGATAATCTTTCTAATTATTTCATCATCAATGTTATAATTTAAATACTCAGGAAAAAGTATGAAATATACATTTCTTTATTATCATATTGTTCTTAGTGCACTTTCCTTCTATTCCACAAACTGAGAGCTTATAACAGTGGTGGTGAACCTATGGTAGACATTCCATAATTTGCTGTTACCTTTGAAAGCTCTAAAAGGTTCATCATCATTGGCTTACAGCTTCCAAATTTTGTAATAAAAGGAAAGAGGAATTTTCTTGGGTGACAGCTAAGACATATAATATAGCTAATGCTATAAGTAACCAAATTTCTGTTTTTATATCTGTTACTAGAACATTAAAAAAAAAGAGGGCAAGCTGCTTGCAGGCTGTAGGTTGGACACAACCAAGGGGGAGAGAGACACATTTCATTATGGAGGCAGAATAAATATTGCTTAACTCTCTGATAAAGCATAAGTCCATGAGTTTTGTGCCACAGGACAATGGAAGTGAACAGTTAAACTGTAAAAACCAAATTCCAAGAGATATGATGTTATGGACAGAATACAAGATGAATTTTGAAAAATTCTTGAATAAGCAAACAAAAGTTTTTAATAGTTTGTTATAAATAAATTCTACCAGAAACTGAAAGGACACAATTATAATTTTTAAATAAGTCTACCCAAGAAAAAAGAATTTAGAGCCCAGAAACAGATTCAGATATATGATAATCTGATTTATGATAAGAAAGAAAACAGTAGTGGGGAAAAGATGGCTATTTCAGTAAATAGTGCTTGGATAAACCAGAACCCTACACCTCATGTCATATACAAAAATCACCCACAGACAAACTGCAAATCTAAACATTAGCATGGTAAAACAAAAAACAGTTTTAAAGAAAATTTCAGGACAATATTCTGTGACCTTGCATGAGGCATATATTACACAATATATAAGAGCAATGCAGAGTGGAAAATAATCCATATATATGACAAAGAACTCATTCACATTATATGCAGCACTCCTAATTGAAAAAGACAAGCTGAGCAATAAAAGTGGGCAACAGACCTAGGCAAACACACAAGAGAGGACAAGTAGTCAATAAACATAAAAAAGGCTCAATATTTCAAAAGATTTCAGTAGTTGTAAAAAAAAAGTGAACCCACATGGAATACAACCACCAGAATAGCTAAAATTTAAAAACCACAAGATAGAGTGTGGAATCTCTCATCTACTGCTGGTGGCACTGTAAGTGACACAAATAGTATGGAAAACTATTTGGCAGCATCTACTAAAACTGAATTTGTGCATATTCTCTGACCCAGCAATTTCATTCTAGGTACAGACCCAACAAAAAATGAGTACTCATTTTAATTATAAGGCACATAGTAGAATGCTCACAAATTCTGTACATAATACAATAAATTGTGCCAAATTTATAAAGTGAATACTATAAAGTCATGAGAATAAAGAACTATAACCACATAAAACAAGATGAAAGAACACATAATGTTGAGCAAAGAAAGCCAGGTTTAATTAGAGGAATATAAATCGTTTCATTCATATAAAGTGTCAATGCATGGTCAAAGTTATAATAGTAATATAAGAGTAGAGCATATGATGCTCTTGGGAGGACCAGTAGTTTTCTGGTTTTTGATTAGCATGTAGATAACATGAACATGCTCACTTTTTAAGAACTTATTAAACATAATACAATGTGTATATGAGCATAAATATACATATTTATCAAAAAGTTTAAAAGATCTGAAAGCATGATTTGAATTTTATAATTACTAAATACTGTCAAGAACAAAATTAACTCACATTATCATCAAGTTGAGCTGAGACTCGACAATGTTCAGGATCTGAATCAGTCTTTGTAATTAAAGGAGGCACCTAACATGGAAAAAAAAAGTAAACACACTACAGTTGACAGTGAAAGAACACAATATAGTAATAAACTGAGTATCAACATTTAATTTTTGGTGCAATATATAAGCAACAATCTACAACTTGAAACCAAATATAAGAGAGTGTTTATTTCATTGTCCAAAGATCTGAAATGCTTTTCGGTGGGGAGATTATCAAACTCCGACACCAAATTAAGAAAGGTGAAATGACTTGAAGATCAGATAGCAGACTAGCCAAAAAACAGAACTTCAATTTCTTTTACCACAAAGAGTTCTTGATAGTTGGTGTTAGTAAATGTAAGAAATTAACCAAGTGTTAGAAAAGTTCTAGAGAAAGAAGGATAAAAAGACCAATAATAATGGCTAAAAATCCTATGTCAACATAGGAAGAACTACCAATATCACCTACTTTAATCCCCTGAAAGTTATTGATGATGACAAAAAAACTCAGAAAAATTCAATGACTTTTGCACAAAGTCATATAAGCAGCAGGCAGCAGAAGTGGTATTGCCATTCACTTGTTATTCATGTGTTTTCTCACAAGAGATAAAGAGAAGCATGAGAGAAAGATGAGAAAAGTATGTTACATACTTTTTAAATTTGCCTTTTATATTAAGGAAAATCTGTGTTTACATATATTTGCCCCCCCATTCAAATGTGACCCAGCAAACAAAAAAAATTCTAATAGCTTTATTGAGTTTTTAAACCAGCTTTGATTTTTTTACTTAAATTTACTTAATTTTTAATTTTTAGGTTTTAAAATAGCTTTACAAAATGTAAAATCAAAATTACAAAAAAATTAAAAAATCTAATAAACTACTTGGTACAGTATCTGTATCTGCTGCTAATATAAGGAAAAAGCTTTCTGAGAAAAGCATCTATGTCACTCAAAGGTATATATGTATGAACCCAAAGACCAAGGTAGTGAAAGAATTTTGCTTTTTTTGATATGGAAGTACCTTAGTCATATGAATCACAGAAAAAAATTAGACGTTATGCTTCTTGAGTGAATGCTAGTACAAGATATTTGCAAATAACATTTACTTATTTGCTAAGGAATTCACAGTATTATAAATAAGAGGCATTTTATTATGAAACAGAATGAAAATTAGTAATTTTAAGTATTTCTTTTAAATAGATTTTTCAACTCTACCATAGCAGGGACTGATGAGTGACTTAATTTTTTAGATGTTTTTGTGATAAGAATTTATTCTCTTTATGGGCCAGGGATTTAGCTCAGTGGTTCAGCTGCCTGCTTCACAAATGCAAGGGCCTGAGTTCAATCCCTGGTACCAAAAAAAAAAAATGACTGATGAGTGACTTAATTTTTTAGATGTTTTTGTGATAAGAATTTATTCTCTTTATGGGCCAGGGATTTAGCTCAGTGGTTCAGCTGCCTGCTTCACAAATGCAAGGGCCTGAGTTCAATCCCTGGTACCAAGAAAAAAAAAAAATAATAATTTATTCTATTCTCTTTAGTTTTTCATTCCTTATGAGACTGTCTGATGGATTTTGGAAAGGAAATAAGGTAAATCAAGGCAAGAATTCAATGCACCTCAGCTGATTCAAAAAGTTTGCATTAGACATTACTAAAAATGTCTTCTTACCTTGAAAAATGATTGCTTTATGTCTTGACCTAATCTTTCTGACATTTTGCCCATGTTGTCTGACATTTTAGTCATTCCTTCTGCCAAGCTATCAGGAAGGGACTTAACTGCATTTGAAACATTCCTCATAGAATTTCGAAGTGGATTTACAAAAGTGTCCATCTACAGGAAGAAAGATTTTTGCCATGACTTCATTATATCAGATCTGTGTGTTCATTCAGAACATACAGAATGCAACGCACAAAGAAAAATACGTTCATTTTCCAGTGTCATTGCATTTTAAAAGTTTAAAAATGTTTTTAGTGTCATAAAAATGGGCTTTCACACTCACACATATGATTTAGAAATCTTACTAATAAGATTACTGTTAGAAAATCAATATAAGCTTTCACTGCTTTATTAAATTCTGAATAATAGTCAACAGACATTGATACGAGAATTAGCCATTTCATACTTCCACCACAATTCAAACCAATAAGCACATATTTGTTGTAGACACTGAAAACAAAAAAGCAAGTAAAATATACAGAAAGCTGAAATAACTAACAATTCTCTTAAGTTTCTTTTTTAAAATAAATTTTAGGATATGTTATATACTCAATCTATCAATGGAATCCAAGGTTCATTACAAGCAAGACAAAAGAAAAGTTACAAATCAACCATGTAAGTCATATTTCAGACAGAATTACAAAAATTATGTATAAAAGAAAATATAATCAGAGAGATAAAAAGGAATAGAACTGCAGAGGGTCAGGAAACAAAACTTGGTATTTTGATATATGCATGTCAAATTTCAATTAAGAAAGGGAGACATCTAAAGACATTAAATAAGCTGACATGGAACCCTCTGAAAGCTGTTTAGCAAATGAAAATTTAAGAAATTAAAAAGAACATAAAAATCAAAGCCATACCAAAAAAAACAAACAAACAAACAAAAAAAAACAACTATGGGAATATTTTCCTGAAAGTGTTGATTCTTATAAGCTATGGGAAAAACAAACTGTGTTCTATGTAAAAAGAAAAAAAAAAAGTAATAAAACCAAATCTCACTGCTTAGAGAATGTAGTACTGTAAGAAGACAAAACTACCTCACTCTAAATTATGTTTTCATCAAGAAAACTAGAAAAGCTGAAACAGCCATTAATAATAATAAAACATGACTTTCAAGACAACTGTAAAAGGTCTGGGAGTTTTGGTTACTTCTTAGTTTAAAGTTGAGTCAACAGTACTGCAGATATGCTTCACTGAACACCCAATCTAAGGAGGAATGTTCAGAGTACAACTTACAAATAAAACCAGTGGTGAAGAGAAACAGGAAGATGAAAAGGATGAAACTCATTATCATGTGTATGTGCATACGTGTGCATGTGTATTTCTAATTCTAAATACTATAGCTTTTGTTCACTAGAACGGACCAGGACATTACTTCCAACACTTTTTGTTTTAACTGTAACAATGTTATAAGCTAAGTCATGAGAACACTAAAGACAGATAAGTATGAGAATATCATATTTAAAATGTACAGCTAGGGTAAATGCCTACCTTTTAATGAGTTATAACATTCACAGAAGAGATAGGATTTCAGAAGTATAAAAGGCAGGCATTTCATTTTAATCCACAATCTACATTAAAAACTGAACATCCAAACATTGTAGAATTTCATACCCTTTGTACTGCACAGCAGATTTAAGTGTTTATTTTACAAGTTGGTCAAATGAATACAATTTCATACACAATCTATGTACAGGGCTTAAATACCGTTGATATTATTTTAAGGTAAACTAAATTTTGTATCAGTAAATTTGATAAAAATTCGAGCCAACCACACACCATTCCAGACCTACAGAATTAACATCCCCACTGTGTGCGCGCATGCATGTGTGTGTGTGTTCCCAATTTCTATGAGTGATGTCCAAATATCTGTATTAGGAAGGGACTAGGATAAAGAAGGAGATGGAAAAACATCACAGGTGACTCGGATGTCTAACTCTGGAGGATATAAAAGCAGAGTTCATCACCATATGATTACATTTACAAAAACAGGGTTTGTCTTAAAATAGATACTTAGGAAGAAAAAAAAATAAACTTTCAAATTATCAGGCACAGGAGTAAATAATAGATTGCTAGTTTAAGTGTACACACAGCCTGACTTAAATACATGCTGTCTGTCTATTTAATTACCCAATGAATTGAGCTCTTTGTATTGCTAACAACATAAGGAATTTTTAACTTAAATCTAAATTTCGAACTACAGTTTAATATGCCTTCAAATCAGGATAACAGTGGATAGAGGAATAACTGTGCATAAAGAAAGATTGCTGTCACTATCTCTTCCTAGGAATTGTCCCATAGATTTTGCAAAGTTAAGATCAAATTAGTTATAAGGTATCATTTCTCCAGGTATGAATAGCCACTCATTAAATGTTTGCACATTATTTTTCTCTAATAGCTACTTAACATCTACTAAAATGTAAGGAAAAATATTATAGTATAATAGCCAAAAAGAAATAACTTTAAATTATTGATATGTATAAGCATTTATTTTGACAACTTACAAGCTCAAGATGATTTTAATAAATACAAATACTATTTTATGACAAACACCTTATTGTGGGTTACCAGATATGAGTCAGAGACATATTAAACTCCATCAGTACTTTTTTTAAAGGGCTCTGTAACAGGACATACATAGATGCTACTGCTGGTCATTAAAAATTTCTATGTACATTTAATATGATGTTTCCTTTAATCAAAAATCTGTTTATTACTTTATCTTAAAACTGATGCAACTCTTAGACAGAAAATAAGGTAAATTAAACATCAAATACAGAACACTGGAATATATTTCTAAAGCAATTTAAAATTGGAATTTTAAAAGTAATCACTTTAATCATGGAAATAAGAGCCACATACATTCTTGACCTATAAGGTTAATACTCTAGAATTTACTATTAAAGCAAAGCTTTCAACTTAGAAATACAGCATTCATGAGGATGCCAAAATCCAGTATCCCACATATTCACACGATGCTCTAAAGTGATAATTAACATTGCCAATTCTTGAGGAAACTAAAGTACCAAGAGATTAACAGGTTCAAGGTCATAACAAATATCAAAGCAGGGATCTGACCCAAAAGCTACCTCAACTCAGCTTATGTTTCTATCCATTAAACCATCTCACCCAATTTGAGCACTTTTATTATTTACTGTCCTAACTTAGCATCTTATTCCAAGCATGGGTCTTATACCTTGTTTTAAATTATTCAGAAGATTTTAAACAATAAAGGCTTTACCCAAAAGGTATATATACTTTCAGAACACATTCTATTTAACATTTTTCTTAATATTATTATTATTCCAAGTAAAAGATATTTTCTTCCAGTAAAAAAAAAAAAAAAAAAA